GCAGGTGGGAGCTGCTGGCCTCCGCCGGCCCCTTCGCAGGGAGGGTGGTCGGTGGCGGAGTGGCTGCTGGCACCTGTGCCTTGTGGACCACGGGGTCGTGGCGAGTGAACCAGGTCAGGCGGCTGACCTAGGAAGCAGAGGTGGCCGTGAGATGGTGGTCATCCCTCTCCCCGCGCCCTGCGGCCCCAGCTCAGCCTGCCGGTCTGAGTCCGCTCCCGGCCTCCCTCTCACTCCACATCCCTCCGAGTTCAGCTCCCCAGGACCTTCTGCACACACTCCCCCACCTTAACAAGCCCTGCCCTGGGGTGTGGGACCCCGTGGTCAGCCCCTCAGCTCAACCATTTCTGCGCCACCGCTGGGTGTGCAGGTGAGCGAGGAGAACTGGGAGCTTTGCTGGAAATGCTGCACAGTTGTTTGTGCTTTCGCTTAGTGACCTTAGAGAGGATAAACCCCCAGAATCTGCCAGCCCCTCGCGGGCCCGAGAAGAGAGGCAGCGGGAAAGGCGGGTTCTGACCGGCCGTCTGAGCCTGCAGCCACGCCGCCTCACGCCCCAGTGCGGTCCCTTTCCTGTCACGTGCAGCCAAGGGTCTCAGTGGGTCCAGCATCAAACCCAGATGTACCCGCTCCGTGGAGGGAGGCTCTGTGAGCCAGCTCACGGCGGACATGGTGACGAGGGTGACCGCAGACAGAATTGTGGACAAGTAGAGGTAGTGCACGTCCTTGACCACAGCGGGGCGCTCATCCGGCTGGTGGCACTGCGGCTGCGTGTAGATGAAGTCCAGGATCAGCCGGATCAAGCCCAGGAGGAGGCCCACGATCAGTCCCGCGAAGGCGCCCTGCAAATAGGAGCAAGGCCATCTGAGCGCCGCCGGGGCTGCTGGGGGCTGGCTCGGGCCTCCAGGAACCTCAGTGAGCCGCCTCCAAGCCGTCCCTCTAGTGACGGTTGCCTGTCTGCCTTTCGCATACAGGTCATCAGCTTCCCTGTTCGTGAGAAAGTCCATCAAAATAGAACCGGCTGTTGTTGAAGGCCAGGTAACACCCTCCCTGTATCTTCCTCCACAGAACTCATCCTCCCCAGCGACACCCACGTCAAGACACCCTCGGGTCCCCTCTCCCGTCCCCGTCTCCCCTCCTCGGGCAGCATGGGGTCCTGCCCGGAGGGGTGGCCACCCACCTTCTCAGTGCTCCGCTTCCAGAAACACCCCATGATGAAGACCACAGCCACAGGCGGCTGCAGGTAGGAGCTGATGGACTGGATGTAGATGAAGAGCTGGCCGCCCTGGCTGGCCTGGATCACGGGGATCCAGAGGATGGAGACCAACACCAGCAGCAGCACAAACACCCTGGGGCGGGCGGAGAGACGCCCGTCAGTGCCGTTCCCCGAACACTCCTCGCTGCTTTTATAGCTTCATGGAGGCAGTTACAATCCAGTCGCTTCTGGTGCAACCGTCACCACAATCAGGGTTAGGACATGCATCGTGCAGAAAGCTCCCCCATGCCCATGTACAGGGCATGCTTGTAGAAGAGAGAGAGGGAGGGAGAGAGGGAGAGAGAGAGAGAGAGAGAGAGAGAGAGAGAGAGAGAGAGAGACATCCCACCCTAAGCAAGCACCTCCCCGCTCTGTCTGCAGGTTGCCCCTTCGGACATTTCCCGGAAACGGGTCATACAGCCTGCGTCTGGGCAGTGGGCTTCCTTCATGCCTTTGAAGGTCACCCGTGCATCGTGCCTCCATTTCATTCCTGTCTGTTGTGACGAGTGTCCCATAGAAACCCTGTGTGTCTTCCCCTCGTGCACGGACATGGGTGATTCTGCGACCGGGCTGTTGTAAGGACACCGTGGACAGGTCTCCGTGCGGACTTCTGTTTCCATCTCTAGGACAGCAGTCGCTGGGGTGTATGTATGTGTACATTCAGCTGTTTAAGAAACTGCCAAACTGTTGTGAACGGCTGAACCCGTGGCCTGTGGCCTGCACACACGAGTCCCGTGTCCCCGCCTCCGGCCTGTCTTTTCCATGTAGTGTGTGGTGGTGTCACGCTGTAGTTTCCTAGGTTACAGTCTTGTCTGGGAGTTTATTCTGCATCACAAGTCCTTATAAATGCTAGTGTATGGTGTGCAGCTATTTTATCCCGGCCTGTGGCTTGTCTTTGCATTTTCTAATGCTAGCGAATTCACCATTTTTTCTTTTACAGCCATGCTTTTGGTGTCATGCCCAGGAACTCTTTCCCCAGCCCCAGGCTGAGCTAGCTCTCAGGATGCACCTACCCACACAGAGCCCCAGGGTGCTTATTTACATGTACAGTGGGGCCTTGACTTACGAGTTTAATTCGTTCCTAGACCGAGCTCGTTAAGGAGCTCGTTAACTCAAATTACTCTATCAACTCAATGCAAAAAATCGGGGGAGAGACAGCTGGTATCTCAAAAAACTCGTTAGTGGGGACACTCGCAAGTCAAGGCCCCACTGTATTTTACATAAAATTTACATGCCACTCATTCCTGTCACTTCTGTTCCCCTGTTAGATGGCAGGACTTGCAGAGGCTTGGTAGAGAAACCTTCCCTCCCCCCACCCCTAAAAAAACCCAGGACACCCTCCTCCCTTTACCTGGCTCACTGCTTTTCACCCCTCAGGTCCCAGTCCAGGTTGGGGACCCCCCTCTGAACCCTAGGTCTCCTGACTCGCAGTCATAGCACTGTTGGGGTTGCATTGCCTGGCTATTTAGCCTTCACTAGCTCCATGAATACAGAGCCGAGCTGTTTCTTTTTGTTGCTTTATGTCTGGCATCTGGCACATAGTAGGTGCTCATTGAACATCTCTTATTTTTGTTAATCCTCACATGAGCATATTTTTTTTCCATAGAGAGTGGGAGGAAGGGAGGGAAAGAGAGAAAAAGAGAGAGAGAGAGAGAGAGAGAGAACCAGCATGCCCTGACTGGGGTGGGGATCAAACCTGCACCCAGATATGTGCCCTTGACCAGGAATTAAACCTGAGACCCTTCAGTCCATGTGTGGACCGACGCTCTAACCACTGACCCACCGGCCAGGGTGAACATCTCTTGAATGAATGAATGGGGTCCTAATGCACCTCATTTTCGCCATCAGCGGAGGCTGAGGCTGGGTAAGTTGCTGGCTGGACTGGCCTCTGCGTGGGCTCAGCTTGCTCCTCCCTGGCCCGGCCCCACCCAAGAAGAGCTCACCTGCCCACAATCATGAGCTCCCTCTCCGACGCCCGAGGCCGCAGGCGGTTCCAGAGGTCCATGGTGAAGATGGTGCTGGCACTGTTAAAGATGGAGGTGAGGGAGGACATGAGCGCGGCCACCATCACAGCAATCATGAGCCCTCGGAGCCCTGGGGGCAGAAGGGAGGTCTGTGGGCCTCGGGCTCCTCCTGCTCACTCATGACCCCAGGAGGTTCACCTCTGAGGAAGCAGCACTCAGGTGGGCGCCATGAGGTGGCGGGGAGGCCCCTCCTGGGCCAGGGCCTGGGCTTCATCGGGGCCCTGGCTCTGGGGCTCAGTCCCTCGGCCCCGAGCCTGTTGCCTCCCACCACCCTCGTGCCCCTCACTCTGAGCAGAGCCAGCCAGTGCCCTCCTTCCCGGGGGCGGGGGGGGGGGCATTACCTGTGGGCAGGAGTTCCAGCACGAGTTTGGGGTACGCGATGTCAGAGCAGCCCGAGGGGTTGCCGCAGACCTTCTGGCAGATCTCGGGATCGGCACAGGCCACTTGATCTGGGGAGGGGACAGGCCCAGAGGTGAGCGGGTGCCCCCCCCCCGCACCGGGAGGAGGGTTAGGGCACGTAAGTTCATGGCTCCGTGAAGTGCAAAGGAGCCTGGACTTTACAAGCATGACCCTCCTGCCTACCCTGCTTGGAACTCCGTTTCCTCATCTGTAATTTTTAAAAATATATATATTTCTTTTGTTGATTTCAGAGAGGAAGGGAGCGGGAGAGAGATAGAAACATCAATGATGATAAAGAATCATTGATCGGCTGCCTCCCGCACGCCCCCCACTGGGGATCGAGCCCACAACCGGGGCATGTGCCCTTGGCTGCAATCGAACAGCTGCTACCACGGGAGCTCGGGTGAGGCTGACCCCTGGCGGCAGCCCCAGCTCAGCGGCCTGCATCGGGCTCCACCCCGACCAACCCCCTCCTCCCCACAGGGGCCACCAACAATGCCTGAGCTCCTCTGGGTGCAAAGGACAGCATCATCGCTGACACGTGGCAAATGTGTTTCACCTTCTCCTTCCCCACCTTCCCAGTGGCTCAGGTGGTTCAACAGCTGTTTCTCATTTAGACGCATGCAAACCCAGCTGTGCTGGCTCTGAACTCTCACCCCCTCTTTCTGCACTTCTGTGCCGGTCCTGTGTTCCCTGGGCAGCGTTCTCTCACGTAACACCCCCCGCCCCAGCCTTCCCTGG